TGATTTAATACGTTTGCCCACTGACAAAGAAATGATCAGTCTATAATTTTAATGGTAGGTTTATTTGAACAGTGAGAGACAGAATAACAACAACAAAATTCAGAAAAACTCACGTCAAAAATGTTATAAGTTGATTTGCATTTTAATGAGGGAAATAAGTATTTGACCCCTTTGAAAAACATGACTTAGTACTTGGTGGCAAAACCCTTGTTTGGCAATCACAGAGGTCAGACGTTTCTTGTAGTTGGCCACCAGGTTTGCACACATCTCAGGAGAGATTTTGTCCCACTCCTCTTTGCAGATCTTCTCCAAGTCATTAAGGTTTCGAGGCTGACGTTTGGCAACTTGAACCTTCAGCTCCCTCCACAGATTTTCTATGGGATTAAGGTTTGGAGACTGGCTAGGCCACTCCAGGACCTTAATGTGCTTCTTCTTGAGCCACTCCTTTGTTGCCTTGGCCGTGTGTTTTGGGTAATTGTCATGCTGGAATACCCATCCACGACCCATTTCCAATGCCCTGGCTGAGGGAAGGAGGTTCTCACCCAAGATTTGACGGTACATGGCCCTGTCCATCGTCCCTTTGATGCGGTGAAGTTGTCCTGTCCCCTTAGCAGAAAAACACCCCCAAAGCATAATGTTTCCACCTCCATGTTTGACGGTGGGGATGGTGTTCTTGGGGTCATAGGCAGCATTCCTCCTCCTCCAAACACAGCGAGTTGAATTGATGCCAAAGAGCTCCATTTTGGTCTCATCTTACCACAACACTTTCACTCAGTTGTCCTCCGAATCATTCAGATGTTCATTGGCAAACTTCAGACGGGCATGTATATGTGCTTTCTTGAGCAGGGGGACCTTGTGGGCGCTGCAGGATTTCAGTCCTTCACGGCGTAGTGTGTTACCAATTGTTTTCTTGGTGACTATGGTCCCAGCTGCCTTGAGATCATTGACAAGATCCTCCCGTGTAGTTCAGGGCTGATTCCTCACCGTTCTCATGATCATTGCAACTCCACGAGGTGAGATCTTGCATGGGGCCCCAGGCCGAGGGAGATTGACAGTTCTTTTGTGTTTCTTCCATTTGCGAATAATCGCACCAACTGTTGTCACCTTCTCACCAAGCTGCTTGGCAATGGTCTTGTAGCCCATTCCAGCCTTGTGTAGGCCTACAATCTTGTCCTTGACATCCTTGGAGAGCACTTTGGTTTTGGTCTTGGCCATGGTGGAGAGTTTGAAATCTGATTGATTGATTGCTTCTGTGGACAGGTGTCTTTTATACAGGTAACAAGCTGAGATTAACACTCCCTTTAAGAGTGTGCTCCTAATCTCAGCTCATTACCTGTATAAAAGACACCTGGGAGCCAGAAATCTTTCTGATTGAGAGGGGGTCAAATACTTATTTCCCTCATTAAAATGCAAATCAATTTATAACATTTTTGACATGCGTTTATCTGGATTTTCTTGTTGTTATTCTGTCTCTCACTGTTCAATTAAACCTACCATTAAAATTATAGACTGATCATTTCCTTGTCAGTGGGAAAACGTACAATATCAGCAGGGGATCAAATACTTTTTTCCCTCACTGTCTGAGTGAGTGTATATATGAGTGTATATATGTGTGAGTGTATATATGTATATATGAGTGTATATGAGTGAGTGTATATATGAGTGAGTGTATATATGAGTGTATATGTGTGAGTATATATGTATATATGAGTGAGTGTATATATGTATATATGAGTGAGTGTATATATGTATACATGAGTGAGACTATATATGAGTGTATATGAGTGAGTGTATATATGAGTGTATATGAGTGAGTGTATATACACGAGTGTATATGAGTGAGTATATATGTATATATGAGTGTATATACACGAGTGTATATGAGTGAGTGTATATATGTATATATGAGTGTATATATGTATATATGAGTGTATATATGAGTGAGTGTATATATGAGTGAGTGTATATATGAGTGTATATATGAGTGTATATATGAGTGTATATATGAGTGAGTGTATATGAGTGAGTGTATATATGTGTATATATGTGTATATGAGTGAGTGTATATGAGTGAGTGTATATATGAGTGAGTGTATATATGTATATATGAGTGTGTGTGTGTATATATGAGTGTATATATGAGTGAGTGTATATATGAGTGAGTGTATATGAGTGAGTGTATATATGAGTGTATATATGAGTGAGTGTATATATGAGTGAGTGTATATATGTATATATGAGTGTGTGTGTATATATGAGTGTATATATGAGTGAGTGTATATATGAGTGAGTGTATATATGTGTATATGAGTGTATATATGAGTGAGTGTATATGAGTGAGTGTATATATGAGTGTATATATGAGTGAGTGTATATATGAGTGAGTGTATATATGTGTATATGAGTGTATATATGAGTGAGTGTATATATGAGTGAGTGTACATATGAGTGAGTGTATATATGTGTGAGTGTACATATGAGTGAGTGTATATATGTGTGAGTGTATATATGTGTGAGTGTACATATGAGTGAGTGTATATATGTGTGAGTGTATATATGTGTGAGTGTACATATGAGTGAGTGTATATATGTGTATATGAGTGTATATATGAGTGAGTGTATATATGTGTGAGTGTACATATGAGTGAGTGTATATATGTATATATGAGTGTGTGTGTATATATGAGTGTATATATGAGTGAGTGTATATATGTGTATATGAGTGTGTATATGTGTGAGCGTATGGTCCCACCGAGAGCTCCGTCCTCCGTGAAGAGGATGTGAATTGGCACCAGGGCGCTGAAGTAAAACACATCCAAGTTGTTCTTCACAGCCACCTGCATGCACACAAGCACACACGTACACACAAGCGCACACACACACACACGTACACACACGTACACACACGTACACACACACCACTCTTTACCAGGTGTACGTGTGAGTGTTTGGTACTCTCCAGCAGGTGTATAAATCTGTTGCACTCTGTACCAGGTCTATGCATATGTACAGTACTCTGTACCAGGTGGATGAGTGTATGTAGTACTCTCCACCAGGTGTATGTGTATGTATGCGCGTCTTTGGAGTACTCTCAACCATGTATGTGTGCGAGTGAGTGGTACTCTCCACCAGGTGTGTGTGTAATATTCTGTACCAGGCATTTGAGTGAGTGGTACTCTCCACCAGGTGTGTGTGTGTAGTATTCTGTACCAGCAGTCTATGAGTGAGTGGTACTCTCCACCAGGTGTGTGTGTAGTATTCTGTACCAGCAGTCTATGAGTGAGTGGTACTCTCCACCAGGTGTGTGTGGAGTATCCTGTACCAGGAGTCTATGAGTGAGTGGTACTCTCCATCAGGTGTGTGTGTAGTATTCTGTACCAGGAGTCTATGAGTGAGTGGTACTCTCCACCAGGTGTGTGTGTGTGGAGTATTCTATACCAGGAGTCTATGAGTGAGTGGTACTCTCCACCAGGTGTGTGTGTGTAATATTCTGTACCAGGAGTCTATGAGTGAGTGGTACTCTCCACCAGGTGTGTGTGTAATATTCTGTACCAGGAGTCCATGAGTGAGTGGTACTCTCCACCAGGTGTGTGTGTGTAGTATTCTATACCAGGAGTTTGAGTGAGTGGTACTCTCCACCAGGTGTGTGTGTGTGTTGTATTCTATACCAGGAGTCTATGAGCGTGTGGTACTCTCTACCAGGTGTGTGTGTAGTATTCTGTACCAGGAGTTTGAATGAGTGGTACTCTCCACCAGGTGTGTGTGTGTGTAATATTCTGTACCAGGAGTCTATGAGTGAGTGGTACTCTCCACCAGGTGTGTGTGTGTGTAGTATTCTGTACCAGGAGTCCATGAGTGAGTGGTACTCTCCACCAGGTGTGTGTGGAGTATTCTGTACCAGGAGTCTATGAGTGAGTGGTACTCTCCACCAGGTGCGTGTGGTATTCTGTACCAGGAGTCTATGAGTGAGTGGTACTCTCCACCAGGTGTGTGTGGAGTATTCTGTACCAGGAGTCTATGAGTGAGTGGTACTCTCCACCAGGTGTGTGTGTGTAGTATTCTGTACCATGAGTCTATGAGTGAGTGGTACTCTCCACCAGGTGTATGTGTGTATTATTCTGTACCAGGAGTCTATGAGTAAGTGGTACTCTCCACCAGGTGTGTGTGTGTGTGTTAGTATTCTGTACCAGGAGTCTATGAGTAAGTGGTACTCTCCACCAGGTGTGTGTGTGTAGTATTCTGTACCAGGAGTCCATGAGTGAGTGGTACTCTCCACCAGGTGTGTGTGGTATTCTATACCAGGAGTCTATGAATGAGTGATACTCTCCACCAGGTGTGTGTGTGTAATATTCTGTACCAGGAGTCTATGAGTGAGTGGTACTCTCCACCAGGTGTGTGTGTAGTATTCTATACCAGGAGTCTATAGTGGTACTCTCCAGCAGGTGTGTGTGTAGTATTCTGTACCAGGAGTCTATGAGTGAGTGGTACTCTCCACCAGGTGTGTGTGTAGTATTCTGTACCAGGAGTTTGAATGAGTGGTACTCTCCACCAGGTATGTGTGTAGTATTCTATACCAGGAGTCTATGAGCGAGTGGTACTCTCCACCAGGTGTGTGTGTGTGTTAGTATTCTGTACCAGGAGTCTATGGGTGAGTGGTACTCTCCACCAGGTGTGTGTGTAGTATTCTATACCAGGAGTCTATAGTGGTACTCTACACCAGGTGTGTGTGTGTGTAATATTCTGTACCAGGAGTCTATGAGTGAGTGGTACGCTCCACCAGGTGTGTGTGTGGTAATATTCTATACCAGGAGTCTATGAGCGAGTGGTACTCTCCACCAGGTGTGTGTGTGTGTGTTAGTATTCTGTACCAGGAGTCTATGGGTGAGTGGTACTCTCCACCAGGTGTGTGTGTGTAGTATTCTATACCAGGAGTCTATAGTGGTACTCTCCACCAGGTGTGTGTGTGTAATATTCTGTACCATGAGTCTATGAGTGGTACTCTCCACCAGGTGTGTGTGTAGTATTCTATACCAGGAGTCTATAGTGGTACTCTCCACCAGGTGTGTGTGTGTGTAGTATTCTGTACCATGAGTCTATGAGCGTGTAGTACTCTCCACCAGGTGTGTGTGTGTGTAGTATTCTATACCAGGAGTCTATAGTGGTACTCTCCACCAGGTGTGTGTGTGTGTGTGCGTGGTACTCTCTACCAGGAGGAGGAGGAGGGGGTGGGTGGGCGCCTTGCCTGGAGGTTGTTGAGGGGCTCCATGTGCATCACGGGGCCCAGGGTGGAGAGAGGCAGCGCCAGCTCCCTCGTCTGATTGGGCAGCAGTGGCGTTGGCACCTGCAGCGGGGCACTGGGCACCAGCCCAAAGCTGTGCCCCACGCACAAAAGCAAAGGTCACCCACGTAGCCCCGAACAGAGTGCAGGGGGGGGGCAAGTGCCGTTAGGAGTAGCGAGCAGCAGCGGGCGGGGGTTTGGCCGAGGCGTTGGTGTCACCTGGGCCTCATGGCGCGGTTGCTGAGCGCCAGGCGCATGTGGAGGGGGCAGAGTGAGCGGGTGGGTGGGTGAGTGGGTGAGTGAGTGGGTTGGTTGGTGAGTGGGTTGGTGGCTGAGTGAGTGGCTGGGTGAGTGAGTGAGTGGGTGAGTGAGTGGGTGAGTGGGTGGGTGAGTGAGTGGGTTGGTGGCTGAGTGAGTGGTTGGGTGAGAGAGTGAGTGGGTGAGTGAGTGGGTGAGTGAGTGAGTGGGTGAGTGAGTGGGTGAGTGAGTGGGTTGGTGAGTGGGTTGGTGGCTGAGTGAGTGGTTGGGTGAGAGAGTGAGTGGGTGAGTGAGTGGGTGAGTGAGTGGGTGAGTGAGTGGGTTGGTGGCTGAGTGAGTGGCTGGGTGAGAGAGTGAGCGGGTGAGTGAGTGGGTGGCTGAGTGAGTGAGTGGGTGAGTGAGTGGGTTAGTGAGTGGGTTGGTGGCTGAGTGAGTGGCTGGGTGAGAGAGTGAGCGGGTGAGTGGGTGGCTGAGTGAGTGAGTGGGTGAGTGAGTGGGTTAGTGAGTGGGTTGGTGAGTGGGTTGGTGGGTTAGTGAGTGGCTGGGTGAGAGAGTGAGTGGGTGAGTGAGTGGGTGAGTGAGTGGGTGAGTGGCTGAGTGAGTGGGTTAGTGAGTGGGTTGGTGGCTGAGTGAGTGGTTGGGTGAGAGAGTGAGTGGGTGAGTGAGTGGGTGAGTGAGTGGGTTGGTGAGTGGGTTGGTGGCTGAGTGAGTGGTTGGGTGAGAGAGTGAGTGGGTGAGTGAGTGGGTGAGTGAGTGGGTGAGTGAGCGGGTGGGTGAGTGAGTGGGTGAGTGAGTGAGTTGGTGAGTGGGTTGGTGGCTGAGTGAGTGGTTGGGTGAGAGAGTGAGTGGGTGAGTGAGTGGGTGAGTGAGTGAGTGGGTGAGTGAGTGGGTGAGTGAGTGGGTGAGTGAGTGAGTGGGTGAGTGAGTGGGTTAGTGAGTGGGTTGGTGGCTGAGTGAGTGGGTGAGTGAGTGGCTGAGTGGCTGAGTGAGTGGGTTGGTGAGTGGGTTGGTGGCTGAGTGAGTGGTTGGGTGAGAGAGTGAGTGGGTGAGTGAGTGGGTGAGTGGGTGGGTGAGTGGGTGAGTGAGTGAGTAGGTTGGTGAGTGGGTTGGTGAGTGGGTTGGTGGCTGAGTGAGTGGTTGGGTGAGAAAGTGAGTGGGTGAGTGAGTGGGTGAGTGAGTGAGTGGGTGAGTGAGTGGGTTAGTGAGTGGGTTGGTGGCTGAGTGAGTGGTTGGGTGAGAGAGTGAGCGGGTGAGTGGGTGGCTGAGTGAGTGAGTGGGTGAGTGAGTGGGTTAGTGAGTGGGTTGGTGGCTGAGTGAGTGGCTGGGTGAGAGAGTGAGCGGGTGAGTGGGTGGCTGAGTGAGTGAGTGGGTTAGTGAGTGGGTTGGTGAGTGGGTTGGTGGCTGAGTGAGTGGTTGGGTGAGAGAGTGAGTGGGTGAGTGAGTGGGTGAGTGGGTGAGTGAGTGGGTTGGTGGCTGAGTGAGTGGTTGGGTGAGAGAGTGAGTGGGTGAGTGAGTGGGTGAGTGAGTGAGTGAGTGGGTGAGTGAGTGGGTTAGTGAGTGGGTTGGTGGCTGAGTGAGTGGCTGAGTGAGTGAGTGAGTGGGGTCAGGTGTTCATGCTGGACTGCCTCGCTTCCTACGTGCCCAGGGACGAGAGGGAGGCACAGAGGTGGGTGGGTGAGTGGGTGAGTGGGTTAGTGAGTGGGTTGGTGGCTGAGTGAGTGGCTGGGTGAGTGGCTGGGTGAGAGAGTGGGTAAGTGAGTGGGTAAGTGAGTGGGTGAGTGAGTGGGTGAGTGAGTGGGTGGGTGGCTGAGTGAATGGCTGAGTGAATGGCTGAGTGAATGGCTGAGTGGCTGAGTGAGTGGGTGAGTGAGTGGGCTAGTGAGTGGGTTGGTGGCTGAGTGAGTGGCTGGGTGATAGAGTGGCCGAGTGAGTGAGTAGCTGAGTGAGTGAGTGGCTGAGTGGCTGAGTGGCTGAGTGAGTGGGTTGGTGAGTGGGTTGGTGGCTGAGTGAGTGGTTGGGTGAGAGAGTGAGTGGGTGAGTGAGTGGGTGAGTGGGTGGGTGAGTGGGTGAGTGAGTGAGTGGGTTGGTGAGTGGGTTGGTGAGTGGGTTGGTGGCTGAGTGAGTGGTTGGGTGAGAAAGTGAGTGGGTGAGTGAGTGGGTGAGTGAGTGAGTGGGTGAGTGAGTGGGTTAGTGAGTGGGTTGGTGGCTGAGTGAGTGGTTGGGTGAGAGAGTGAGCGGGTGAGTGGGTGGCTGAGTGAGTGAGTGGGTGAGTGAGTGGGTTAGTGAGTGGGTTGGTGGCTGAGTGAGTGGCTGGGTGAGAGAGTGAGCGGGTGAGTGGGTGGCTGAGTGAGTGAGTGGGTTAGTGAGTGGGTTGGTGAGTGGGTTGGTGGCTGAGTGAGTGGTTGGGTGAGAGAGTGAGTGGGTGAGTGAGTGGGTGAGTGGGTGAGTGAGTGGGTTGGTGGCTGAGTGAGTGGTTGGGTGAGAGAGTGAGTGGGGTGAGTGAGTGGGTGAGGTGAGTGAGTGAGTGGGTGAGTGAGTGGGTGAGTGAGTGGGTTGGTGGCTGAGTGAGTGGGTGAGTGAGTGGGTGAGTGGGGTCAGGTGTTCATGCTGGACTGCCTCGCTTCCTACGTGCCCAGGGACGAGAGGGAGGCACAGAGGTGGGTGGGTGAGTGGGTGAGTGGGTTAGTGAGTGGGTTGGTGGCTGAGTGAGTGGCTGGGTGAGTGGCTGGGTGAGAGAGTGGGTAAGTGAGTGGGTAAGTGAGTGGGTGAGTGAGTGGGTGAGTGAGTGGGTGGGTGGCTGAGTGAATGGCTGAGTGAATGGCTGAGTGAATGGCTGAGTGGCTGAGTGAGTGGGTGAGTGAGTGGGCTAGTGAGTGGGTTGGTGGCTGAGTGAGTGGCTGGGTGATAGAGTGGCCGAGTGAGTGAGTAGCTGAGTGAGTGAGTGGCTGAGTGAATGAGTGGCTGAGAGAGTGAGTGGCTGAGTGAGTGGCTGAAGGAGTGAGTGGCTGAGTGAGTGAGCGGCCGAGTGGATGAGCGGCTGAGTGAGTGAGTGTCACCTGTTCTTGTTGAACTGGATGGCGAAGTCACTCATGGGCCTCATGGCACGGTTGCCGAGCGCCAGGTGCATGTGGGGGGTGCCACCCACTCGCGAGAAGTGACCCTGCACCTCCAGCCCCTTGGCCTTCGCAGCCAGCAGCCACATCTAGCGAGGGTGAGGAGGTGACGGTGAGGAGGTGACGGTGAAGGTAGAGAGAGGTGTGGGTGGTTGTCCTCGGCGATTAAATCGCTCGCTCCTTTGCTCAGGTGTCCCAATGGCTCACGAGTTAATTCCCTCACTCACTCACTCACACCCAACCACACAAACACACAAACACTACACACCACACACACACTACACACACTACACACCACACACACACTACACACCACACTACACACACACCCCAACCACACACCCCACACCACACACACTACACACACCAGACTCCACACACACCACACTACACACACCAGACTCCACACACACCACACTCTACACACACCAGACTCCACACACACCACACTCTACACACACCACACTCTACACACACCACACTCTACACACACACACCATAGACACACCACACACCAATACCACACACACCACACCACACACCAATACCACACACACCACACCACACACACACACCACACACACTACACACCACACCTGTGAGGCAGGCGCTGTGTAGCCCCCACTGGGCATGGAGACGCTCCCAGCCAGGTCCAGCAGAGCGCCCAGACCTCCTCCAGCCTAGACAACAACAACACAACAACATCAACACAACAACAACACCACAACAACCTCAACAACACCACAACATAAACAACAACATCAACAACAACACAGCAGAGCACGGAGACCTCCTCCAGCCTAGACAACAACACCACAACATCAACAACAACACAACAACACCACAACAACCTCAACAACACCACAAAATAAACAACAACATCAACAACATCAACAACAACACAGCAGAGCACCGAGACCTCCTCCATCCTAGACAACAACAACACCACCACAACATCAACAACACAACAACACCACAACCTCAACAACACCACAACATCAACAACAACAACAACAACATCAACAACAACACAGCAGAGCACCGAGACCTCCTCCAGCCTAGACGACAACAATATCAACAACATCAAGAACATGACAACATCAACCAAACATCAACAACATCAACACAACATCACAACATCAACACAACATCAACATCGATGGTGAGAAAATTATGACGTTGCGATGTTGGTGCTGTTGTGGTGGTTGAGTTGTTGTTGTGGTCGAGTTGTTGTTGTGGTTGTTGTGTTGTGATTGAGTTGTTGTGGTTGTTGTGTTGTGATTGAGTTGTTGTTGTGGTTGTTGTTGTGTTGTGATTGAGTTGTTGTTGTGGTTGTTGTTGTGTTGTGATTGAGTTGTTGTGGTTGTTGTTGTGTTGTGATTGAGTTGTTGTGGTTGTTGTGTTGTGATTGAGTTGTTGTGGTTGTTGTGTTGTGATTGAGTTGTTGTGTTGTGATTGAGTTGTTGTTGTGTTGTGATTGAGTTGTTGTTGTGTTGTGATTGAGTTGTTGTTGTTGTTGTGATTGAGTTGTTGTTGTTGTGTTGTGATTGAGTTGTTGTTGTTGTGTTGTGATTGAGTTGTTGTTGTTGTGTTGTGATTGAGTTGTTGTTGTTGTTGTGTTGTGATTGAGTTGTTGTTGTTGTGTTGTGATTGAGTTGTTGTTGTGTTGTTGTGGTTGTTGAGTTGTGATTGAGTTGTTGTTGTGTTGTGATTGAGTTGTTGTGGTTGTTGAGTTGTGATTGAGTTGTTGTTGTGTTGTGATTGAGTTGTTGTGGTTGTTGAGTTGTGGTTGAGTTGTTGTGGTTGTTGAGTTGTGGTTGAGTTGTTGTGGTTGTTGTTGTGATTGAGTTGTTGTTGTTGTGTTGTGATTGAGTTGTTGTTGTTGTTGTGTTGTTGTGTTGTTGTTGTGATTGTGTTGTTGTTGTGTTGTGATTGAGTTGTTGTGTTGTGATTGAGTTGTTGTTGTGTTGTGATTGAGTTGTTGTTGTGTTGTGTTGTTGTTGTGGTTGGTGTTGTTGTTGTGTTGTGATTGAGTTGTTGTGTTGTGATTGAGTTGTTGCTGTGTTGTGATTGAGTTGTTGTTGTTGTTGTGATTGAGTTGTTGTTGTTGTGTTGTGATTGAGTTGTTGTTGTTGTGTTGTGATTGAGTTGTTGTTGTTGTGTTGTGATTGAGTTGTTGTTGTTGTGTTGTGATTGAGTTGTTGTTGTTGTGTTGTGATTGAGTTGTTGTTGTTGTGTTGTTGTGGTTGTTGAGTTGTGATTGAGTTGTTGTTGTGTTGTGATTGAGTTGTTGTGGTTGTTGAGTTGTGGTTGAGTTGTTGTGGTTGTTGAGTTGTGGTTGAGTTGTTGTGGTTGTTGTTGTTGTTGTGATTGAGTTGTTGTTGTTGTTGTGTTGTGATTGAGTTGTTGTTGTTGTGTTGTTGTGTTGTTGTTGTGTTGTGATTGAGTTGTTGTTGTTGTGTTGTGATTGAGTTGTTGTTGTTGTTGTTGTGTTGTGTTGTGATTGAGTTGTTGTTGTGTTGTGTTGTTGTTGTGGTTGGTGTTGTTGTTGTGTTGTGATTGAGTTGTTGTGTTGTCATTGAGTTGTTGTTGTGTTGTGATTGAGTTGTTGTTGTTGTTGTGATTGAGTTGTTGTTGTGTTGTGATTGAGTTGTTGTTGTTGTGTTGTGATTGTGTTGTGGTTGTTGAGTTGTGATTGAGTTGTTGTTGTGTTGTGATTGAGTTGTTGTTGTTGTGTTGTGTTGTGATTGAGTTGTTGTTGTGTTGTGTTGTTGTTGTGGTTGGTGTTGTTGTTGTGTTGTGATTGAGTTGTTGTGTTGTCATTGAGTTGTTGTGTTGTGATTGAGTTGTTGTTGTTGTTGTGATTGAGTTGTTGTTGTGTTGTGATTGAGTTGTTGTTGTTGTTGTGTTGTGATTGTGTTGTGGTTGTTGAGTTGTGATTGAGTTGTTGTTGTGTTGTGATTGAGTTGTTGTGGTTGTTGAGTTGTGGTTGATGTAGCGGTTGTTGTTGTTCACTCACAGGAGCTGCGGGGGCTGCGTTTCCGCCCAGCTGCATGCAACACACAAAGACAAAGATCCCCCATATAGCCTTAACAGACTGTAGGGGCAAGTGCTGTTAGCGAGCACCTATGAAGGCCGGAACGGTACACGAGGGGGTGGGTGGCCAGCACCACGCCCGACCGCCTTTGTCTCCCCAGTGGCGATGTTTACACACTGCACCAGGTACTCATTTGTGGCTGAGTCGACCTAGGGGAGGCCCGGGACCGGTTCAGATAATCGTCACTGGTGTTGGCCGTGAGCGGGAATGGAACCCGGGTCGCCAGGTTCATAGCGTAGCGTAGCGCTAACCGCTACACTATCGCTCACACACACAGACACTCACACACATACAGACACACATACATACAGACACACACACACAGACACACACACGCAGACACACACACACATACACATACAGACACACACACACACACGCAAACACACACACATACACATACAGACACACACACACATACAGACACACACACACATACAGACACACACATGCAGACACACACATACATACAGACACACACATACAGACACACACACACAGACACACACACACAGACACACACACACAGACACACACACGCAGACACACACACAGACAGAGGTGGGTGGTGTGGCCCGAAACCACCACCACCCACCCACCACCACCACCCACCCACCACCCTCCACCCACCACTCACCAGAGAGTCCAGCCCACCTCCCAGCAAATCGAGCGCTCCCATTGGCTGAGGGGCGGCGGAGGGGGCGGGGGCCGGGGCCACGGGGTGAGCGGGAGGGGCCGGGCCGCCCAGGTCAAGGGTCAGGAGGTCGCCCAGGAGGTCACTGCCGGGCTGAGTGGTGGCCGTGGTGGTGGTGGTGGGGGCCGTGGTGGGGGCCGTGGTGGGGAAAGTCTCAGCAGCTTCGGGGCTGTCCTGGAGCTCTGGCCTAGGGTGGGGTGGGGGTGGGGGTGGGTGGGTGGGGTGGGTGGGGGTGGGGTGGAGTGGGTGGGGGTGGAGTGGGCGGGGGGTGGAGTGGGTGGGGGTGGAGTGGGCGGGGAGTGGGTGGGGTGAGTCAAAGTGTGGAGAGAGAGACGCTCACCCATCCATCTCCACACTCACCACCCCACACCACTCACCACCCCCACAATCACCACCCCACACCCACAATCACCACCCCACACCCACAATCACCACCCCACACCCACAATCACCACCCCACACCCACAATCACCACCCCACACCACTCACCACCCCCACAATCACCACCCCCACACTCACCACCCCACACCACTCACAACCTCAGCTACCCATCACCATTCCTCCACACGCACACGAATTACCTCTGGACACATCACGTCCTCCTCTGGCTCCACCACCAACATCTCCTCCTCCACCACCACCTCCTCCACCACCACCACCACCTCACTCACGAGATATCTCTGGATCCTACTCCTCTCTTGGCACCACCACCACCACCTCCACCACCTCCACCACCACAGCCACCACCACCACCTCCTTCACCACCTCCACCACCACAGCCACCACCACCATCTCCTTCACCACCTCCTCCACAACCACCACCACCATCTCCTCCACCACCACGACCATCTCCTCCACCACCACCACCACCTCCACCACCATCTCCTCCACAACCACCACCACCACCTCCTCCACAACCACCACCACCATCTCCTCCACAACCACCACCACCATCTCCTCCACAACCACCACCACCACCACCATCTCCTCCACAACCACCACAACCACCACAACCACCACCACCTCAATCTTCTCCACAACCACAACCACCACCACAACAACCACTACCATCTCCTCCACAATCACCACCACCACCACCACCATCTCCTCCACCACCACGACCATCTCCTCCACCACCTCCACCACCATCTCCTCCACCAGCTCCACCACAATCACCACCACCATCTCCACCACCATCTCCTCCACCACCTCCACCACCACCACCTCACTCACGAGTTATCTCAGGATCCTACTCCTCTCTTGGCACCACCGCCACCACCTCCACCACCACCTCCTCCACAACCACCACCACCACCACCACCATCTCCTCCACAACCACCACCACCATCTCCTCCACCACCACCACCACCACCACCATCTCCTCCACAACCACCACCACCATCTCCTCCACAACCACCACCACCACCACCATCTCCTCCACCACCACCACCATCTCCTCCACAACCACCACCACCATCTCCTCCACAACCACCACCACCACCATCTCCTCCACCACCACCACCATCTCCTCCACAACCACCACCACCACCACCACCGCCTCACTCACGAGTTATCTCTGGATCCTACTCCTTTCTTCGCACCACCGCCACCACCTCCACCACCATCTCCTCCACAACCACCACCACCATCTCGTCCACCACCACCACCACCGCCTCACTCACGAGTTATCTCTGGATCCTAATCCTCTCTTGGCACCACCGCCACCACCACCACCACCACCATCTCCTCCACAACCACCACCACCATCTCCTCCACAACCACCACAACCACCACCACCTCAATCTTCTCCACAACCACAACCTCCACAACCACCACCACAACAACCACCACCACAACAACCACCACCATCTCCTCCACCACCTCCACCACCACCTCCTCCACAACCACCACCACCACCATCTCCTCCACCACCACGACCATCTCCTCCACCACCTCCACCACCATCTCCTCCACCAGCTCCACCACAATCACCACCACCATCTCTTCCACCACCTCCATCACCACCACCACCACCACCACCGCCTCACTCACGAGTTCTCTGGATCCTACTCCTCTCTTCGCACCACTGCCACCACCTCCACCACCACCTCCTCCACAACCACCACCATCTCCTCCACAACCACCACCACCATCTCCTCCACAACCACCACCACCACCATCTCCTCCACCACCACCACCACCTCCACCACCTCCACCACCACCACCACCGCCTCACTCACGAGTTATCTCTGGATCCTACTCCTCTCTTCGCACCACCGCCACCACCTCCACCACCATCTCCTCCACAACCACCACCACCACCACCATCTCCTCCACAAGCACCACCACCACCACAATCTCCTCCACCACCACCACCACCACCATCTCCTCCACCACCACCACCACCATCTCCTCCACCACCACCACCACCATCTCCTCCACAACCACCACCACCATCTCCTCCACAACCACCACCACCACCTCCTCCTCCACCACCACCACCTCCACCACCATCTACTCCACAACCACCACCACCACCATCTCCTCCACAACCACCACGACCACAATCTCCTCCACAACCACCACCACCACCATCTCCTCCACCACCACCACCACCATCTCCTCCACCACCACCACCACCATCTCCTCCACAACCACCACCACCATCTCCTCCACAACCACCACCACCACCTCCTCCTCCACCACCACCACCTCCACCACCATCTACTCCACAACCACCACCACCACCATCTCCTCCACAACCACCACGACCACAATCTCCTCCACAACCACCACCACCACCATCTCCTCACCACCACCACCACCATCTCCTCCACCACCACCACCACCATCTCCTCCACAACCACCACCACCATCTCCTCCACAACCACCCCACCTCCTCCTCCACCACCACCACCTCCACCACCATCTACTCCACAACCACCACCACCACCATCTCCTCCACAACCACCACGACCACAATCTCCTCCACAACCACCACCACCACCATCTCCTCCACAACCACCACCACCACCACCGCCTCACTCACGAGTTATCTCTGGATCCTACTCCTCTCTTGGCACCACCACCGCCGCCACCACCACCACCACCACCGCCACCACCACCACCACCACGGCCGCCCCCTTCCACGAAGGCGGAGGGCAGCTTGTGGTAGACGGAGGCGAGTGAGGAGATGTGGCCGAGGAGGGCGTCGAGGAGGCGTGGCGACAGAGCGTCCGAGTCCTCCTGGGAGATCACCGGCTTCTCCGCCAACACCACATCCCTGGCCGCCGACGGGTCAGTGGAAAGCAGCCGCCAGTAGATGTAGCTGCGATCTCGCAGGTCTGGGTTGTCAGAGTCCTGGTGGTGGTGAGGGTGGTGAGGGTGGTGAGGGGTGAGAGGTGGTGGTGACCGTGGTGGTGGTGGTGAGAGGTGGTGGTGAGGGTGGTGAGGGGTGTGGTGGTGAGTGGTGGTGAGCGTGGGTGTGTTGAGTGTGGTGGTGGTGGTGAGGGTGGTGCTGGTGGTGGTGAGGGTGAGGGGTGGTGGTGGTGGTGGTGGTGAGAGGTGTGGTGGTGGTGAGAGGTGGTGGTGGTGGTGGTGAGGGTGGTGAGAGGTGGTGGTGGTGAGAGGTGTGGTGGTGGTGGTGGTGGTGAGAGGTGTGGTGGTGGTGGTGGTGGTCAGAGGTGTGGTGGTGGTGGTGAGCGTGGTGGTGGTGGTGGTGGTGAGCGTGGTGGTGAGAGGTGTGGTGGTGGTGGTGGTGGTGAGAGGTGTGGTGAGAGGTGTGGTGGTGGTGGTGAGGGGTGTGGTGGTGAGAGGAGGTGGTGGTGAGAGGTGTGGTGGTGGTGAGCGTGGTGGTGGTGGTGAGCGTGGTGGTGATGAGACGTGGTGGTGGTGGTGAGCGTGGTGGTGGTGAGCGTGGTGGTGGTGAGCGTGGTGGTGATGGTGAGCGTGGTGGTGAGAGGTGTGGTGGTGGTAAGCGTGGTGTGGTGGTGGTGTGGTGGTGGTGAACGTGGTGGTGGTGAGCGTGGTGGTGGTGGTGAGGGGTGTGGTGAGTGGTAGTGGTGAGGGGTGTGGTGGTGGTGGGGAGCGTGGTGGTGGTGAGCGTGGTGGTGGTGGTGGTCAGAGGTGTGGTGGTGGTGGTGAGCGTGGTGGTGGTGGTGAGCGTGGTGGTGGAGGTGAGCGTGGTGGTGGTGGTGGTGAGCGTGGTTGTGGTGGTGAGCGTGGTGGTGGTGAGCGTGGTGGTGGTGGTGAGCGTGGTGGTGAGCGTGGTGGTGTAGGTGAGCGTGGTGGTGGTGAGTGAGCGTGGTGGTGGGTGGTGGTGAGCGTGGTGGTGGTGGTGGTGAGCGGGTGGGGGGGTGGTGACGGGGTGGTGAGCGTGGTGGTGGTGGTGAGCGTGGTGGTGGTGGTGAGCGTGGTGGTGGTGGTGAGCGTGGTGGTGGTGGTGGTGAGCGTGGTGGTGGTGGTGGTGAGCGTGGTGTGGAGCGTGGTGGTGGTGGTGAGCGTGGTGGTGGTGGTGAGCGTGGTGGTGGGTGGTGAAGCGTGGTGGTGAGCGTGGTGGTGGTGAGCGTGTGGGGTGAGCGTGTTGGGTGGTGACGTGGTAGTGGTGAGCGTGGTGGTGGTGGTGAGCGTGGTAGTGAGCGTGGTAGTGGTGAGCGTGGTGGTGAGCGTGGTGGTGGTGGTTGAGCGTGGTAGTGGTGAGCGTGGTAGTGTGAGCGTGTCTTCTACCTGTGTGGCCAGGCTCAGCACCTGCTGTACCAGCTCCTGGTTCTCTGTCGGCTTCTTCAGGAAGAGCTTCACGATGGCGGAAAGCAGCTGCAGCTGCACCTGCAGCCGCACGGCAACGGTCGCCACGGCGACGGAGCGACGGTCACCGGGGGCGACGGTCGCCGGGGGCGACGGTCGCCGCGGTGACCAAGCGGCGCCCCACAGAGACCCACAGAGATCCACACAGAGACCCACACAGAGATCCACACAGAGACCCACACAGAGAGACCCACACAGAGAGACCCACACAGAGACCCACACAGAGATCCACACAGAGACCCACACAGAGAGACCCACACAGAGAGACCCACACAGAGAGACCCACACAGAGAGACCCACACAGAGACCCACACAGAGACCCACACAGAGAGACCCACACAGAGAGACCCACACAGAGACCCACACAGAGACCCACACAGAGACCCACACAGAGACCCACACAGAGACCCACACAGAGACCCACACAGAGACCCACACAGAGACCACACAGAGACCCACACAGAGACCCACAGAGAGACCCACAGAGAGACCCACACAGAGACCCACACAGAGACCCACACAGAGACTCCTACAGAGACCCACACAGAGACCCACACAGAGACCCACACAGAGACCCACACAGAGACCCACACAGAGACCCACACAGAGACCCACACAGAGACCCACACAGAGACCCACACAGAGACCCACACAGAGACCCACACAGAGACCCACAGAGACCCACAGAGACCCACAGAGACCCACACAGAGACCCACACAGAGACCCACACAGAGACCCACACAGAGACTCCCACACAGAGACCCACAGAGAGACCCACACAGAGACCCACACAGAGACCCACACAGAGACCCACAGAGAGACCCACAGAGAGACCCACACAGAGACCCACACAGAGACCCACACAGAGACCCCCACACAGAGACTCCCACACAGAGACCCACACAGAGACCCACACAGAGACCCACACAGAGACCCACACAGAGACCCACACAGACTCCTACAGAGACCCACACAGAGACCCACACAGAGACCCACACAGACTCCTACAGAGACCCCCAAAGAGACCCACACAGAGACCCACACAGAGACCCACACAGAGACCCACACAGAGACCCACACAGAGACCCCCACAGACTCCTACAGAGACCCCACAGAGACCTACAGACCCCCACAAAGACTCCTACAAAGACTCCCACACACAGAGACTCCCCCACAGACCCACACAAAGACTCCTACAGAGACCCCACAGAGACCTACAGACCCCCACAAAGACTCCTACAGAGTCCCCCACACAGAGACTCCCCCCTCCTACCTGTGCACTGTCATCGTGGAACGAGTCCAGGAACGAGTCTAGCAACTCTGATGCGTTGTCGATCCTCTCGGCATACTCCCCGATGATCCAGATCATAGCGGCACGCGCCTCCGGCTCGTCCAGGGACTCCAGGGACTCGCAGAGTACCCCAATGATGCTCTCGTACCTACGGGGGAGGAGGGAGGTAGTCGTGGTACTAGGTACTAGACACACGCGTGCTGGTACTACTATACACACGCTGGTACTACTATACACACGCTGGTACTACTATACACACGCGTGCTGGTACTACTATACACACGCTGGTACTACTATACATAGTACTATACACACGGTGGTACTACTATACACACGCTGGTACTATTATACATAGTACTACACACACGGTGGTACTACTATACACACGTTGGTACTACTATACACACGCTGGTACTACTATACACATGGTGGTACTATTATACACATGGTGGTACTATTATACACACGCTGGTACTACTACACACACGCTGGTACTACTATACACATGCTGGTACTACTACACACATGGTGGTACTATTATACACAGTACTACACACACGCTGGTACTACTACACACACGCTGGTACTACTATACACACGCTGGTACTACTATACACATGGTGGTACTACTATACACAGTACAAGACACACTCTGGTACTACTATACACACGCTGGTACTACTATACACACACTGGTACTACTACTATACACACGCTGGTACTACTACACACATGGTGGTACTATTATACACAGTACTACACACACGCTGGTACTACTACACACACGCTGGTACTACTACACACACGCTGGTACTACTATACACACACTGGTACTACTATACACACGCTGGTACTAGTACTACACACACGCTGGTACTACTATACACACGCTGGTACTACTACACACACGCTGGTACTACTATACACACGCTGGTACTACTATACACACGCTGGTACTACTATACACACGCTGGTACTACTATACACACGCTGGTACTACTATACACACGCTGGTACTACTATACACACGCTGGTACTACTACACACACGCTGGTACTACTATACACACGCTGGTACTACTATACACACGCTGGTACTACTACACACACGCTGGTACTAGTACTATACACACGCTGGTACTACTATACACACGTTGGTACTACTATACACACGTTGGTACTACTATACACACACTGGTACTACTATACACACGCTGGTACTACTATACACACGCTGGTACTAGTACTAGACACACGCTGGTACTACTATACACACGCTGGTACTACTATACACACGCTGGTACTACCATACACACGCTGGTACTATTATACACACGCTGGTACTACTATACACACGCTGGTACTACCATACACACGCTGGTACTATTATACACACGCTGGTACTACCATACACACGCTGGTACTAGGTACTAGACACACACGCTGGTACTACTATACACACGCTG